GAATAATATCCATCCTCTTATGTAGAGGTAATAAACTGAGATATTAGAACTTTATACTAGTTTATTTATTTCAAAATGTATATCTCAATATGAAAGCGAAAACTGAAATTTATAGACACATCATACAAATATTGCAAAAGTTCTTAGCTCTAGTTCTGGCTAAACAACAGGTTCCCCTAAAACAACAGGTTTTGATGTACAAAATGCCTGTTTAAAACATTTCTGTGTTAGCAACAAATGAAAAAGGTTTGCAGTTGTGTTTGTGGTTTTTATTTTGTTTGTTATTAAGTGTTGTCTTTCCTATTGTTTTGTCAGCTATGAGCCACCTGAACGGCCAGCGGCTGCATGGCAGGGCCATGCGTGTGACATTGTCAAAGCATACCACAGTGCAGCTGCCCAGAGAAGGCCACGAGGAACAGGGCCTCACAAAGGACTACAGCAACTCACCGCTGCACCGCTTCAAGAAGCCTGGCTCCAAAAATTACTCCAACATCTTCCCACCTTCTGCAACACTCCACCTCTCCAACATACCGTGAGTGCTGCGGCAGAAACCTAATTTCCACTCCCACTCTCAGCCATTGTGCTCTAAGCTTTTCCTTTGTAGTTTGGTGTCTTCCTTTTTTCTTCTATTTTTAGTGCTTGGGATTAAGTCGATGCAGCAGTATTCTCTATACATTCTACTCTAGAGGTGGATTTTTAGATGTAATCAGGCCTCTTGTGCACACCTGTACATTAAAAAAAAAAACTAAAATTTGAATGAGTAAAGGGAATTTAAACCCATGTAGATAATTCATATTGATTCTTTGTATTGTTTCCCCCCTGCTTTTAGGCCTTCAGTGGTGGAGGATGACCTCAGGAGACTGTTCGCCAGCTCAGGAGCCACAGTCAAAGCATTCAAGTTCTTTCAGTGAGTCTCTCACCAGTTGCACCCGGATTTAGGTCCCTAAAAGTATAGTCAAAAAATTTGTGACGCATTCGAACACTTAAAGAATGTTTTTTTCTTTTATTTAACAGAAAAGACCGCAAAATGGCCCTGATCCAGATGGGCTCAGTCGAGGAGGCAATCGAGTCCCTCATCGAGTTCCACAACCACGATCTTGGAGAGAACCATCACCTTCGAGTGTCCTTCTCCAAATCCACCATCTGAGTGCCTTTCCTTCCTCCCTCCAAATCTGTTGCCACTTGAACGCTACTTCTCTCAAGTTCGCCTTCAGTGGAAATAGCAACCATAACACATTTGTGGCTGTGTTTCTGTGTAGAGCGTTGCTCCCGTGACTGCAATTCTTAGTCATTCCACATAATTTATAGGTTTGGGCATCAGATTTGGTTATGTCTGCTTATTCATTCCAGTTCTTATTCCCAATTCCATACAGAAAAGACACCAAAACCCCAAAATATTGTATTTTGAATATAAATATTGATTAATAAGAATATTCCTTTCCTGCCATCCACAAATTAGTCGTCATTGATGTTGTATCATTTTAATTGGCTCTCACACATGACATTATTTTGCCAGGGCACCATTGTTACATTCCAGATTATGTTCTACCAAAGATAATTGTGATTCCTCATAGAATTTAAACAAGACTTCCCCCCATACCGTGAAATATCTGCAAAAAATCTCCTGTCCGTAATGATGATAACATTTAAATTTACAGGCAGGTATCAAGCTGCAACGAAAATGTAAAAATTTTGACTAGATCAGCAGATCCCTGGTGCCCAAACCTTGTAATCCATTTATTCCACCAATAAGTTCTAAGTGATATCCTTCAAAAAGGGGCAACATTCTGCACTGAAACATATCTGAACTACATCTGCATTGAAAGTATATCGGGAGGTAAAGTTGAGGATGCTGATGAACTGTGGCGTTAGGTCATAAAAACACAAAGAAAAGACCCTCAACCACAGATTGTGGATGAATCGGATCAGACACACTTCAGCATTCCTTTTACTATCATAGTTTTGTCGGTATATCTATGTGTGTGCCTTTTTGAAATGCCACTTTGAATCTGTTTGGCCAGTCGGTGATGGGTTGAGACGAGGATTTTGTTTTTGGCTCACAGACCAGCAACTCATTTCCCAGTTTAACATTTTATTTTTATCTTCTCGTAACTACCCACATATTTTCTTTTGGGGGAACCATACCACTATCTGAAGTTGTCTTAATAAGAATAACATTGGTCTTGTGCCTTACTTTGCCCCAACCAGATTGCCTTAAGCATTGCTCTGGCTTTATTTGGAAAACATGTGGTTCTCAAAATGCCTTTTTT